TGATTCTCTTGTGCCTCCCTTTTCTGCTCTTAAGGAATTGGTGATTACATTGGGACCACCTGGATAATTGAAGCTATGCTTCTTTAGTAAAGTTCATCTCTTTAATTTCCTTTTGCCATGTGACTTCCCATATTCACAGGTTCCAGAGATTAGGTTATAGATGTGTGTCTTTTTAAAAATGTTTTTTTTATTGTAAAATAGTATACAGAGGGGTTACAGTTACATGGGTAAGGTTATAGATGTATGTCTTCTATTGACCATGTTAAAGAATTTAAATTTTTCTTAATGGTAAGAGAAACCATTGGAAAGCTTTATCAGATTTGCTTTTCAGGAAAATTACTCTGTTTATGTTTGGCATAGCTGTTGTCCAAAAAAATTATGTCATATAATTCAATTTACTAGGTCATTCACAACAATTTTTTCCCACAGATGCTTTAAAAATCCCTTTTCGTTTAGATGGAAGTGTTTCAAAAATAGTATGGAAAGCATAATACCTTTCCCTCAGCATTAATATTAATAGCTTATAAAATGATGATGCATTAGATGATTTATCAAGACCAGGAAATTAAAATTGGTAAAATACAATTAACTATGCTACTGATCATTTATTTCTTAAATTGCATTTCATCAGTTTTTCTACTGTTTTGTTTTTTGTTGTTGTGGGATCTAGTTCAAGATGTCATGTTACATTTAGTTATCTTGTTTCTTGTTCTTAGTCTGTGACAACTTCTTGTTTTGTTCTGTTTTTTTTTTTTTCTTCTTGTTTTTCTGATCTAGACAATTGAATAGTGGGTAGATACTTTGTTTTCAGTCCCTCATTTTGGGTTTCTGATGCTTTCTCATGATTAGATTGGAGGATAGGAAGAATATATAGGTAAAATACCCGAGTTTACATGGTATCAGTTTCTTTTATTGCTACTCATGTTAACCTTAACTTAAAGTGGATCTTAGCTCAGGCTGCTATAACAACGACAACAATAAAACCCATATAGCTAGCTGGGCACTGGTGGTTCACACCTGTAGTTCTAACTACTCAGGAGGTTGAGATCTGAGTTTCAAGGTTCAAAGCCAGCATGGGCTGGAAAGTCCATAAGACGCTTACCTCCAATAACCACCTGAAAACCTGGAGTGGTGCTGTGGCTCAAGTGGTAGGGCCCTAGCCTTGAGCTGAAGAGCTGAGGCCCAGGCCCAGAGTTCAAGCCTTATGACCGACAAAAACAAAAAAATCTCCCATACATTGGGTAGCTAAGCAGCCGACATTTACTTTCTCAAAGTTCTGGAACTTGGAAGTCTGAGGTCAGAGGAAGGTTTCCTTTTACATTGTTGCTATGTGCTCACTTGGCCTTTCCTTGGTATGTGTGCATAGGGAGATCTTTTGTCTTGTAAGGCCATTACTTCCATCATGATGCTCAGGCCCTAACCTAAACCTAATTACCTCCAAAGACTTTTACCTCCTCATATCAAAGTGGGTGCTGGGGCTTCAACACAAGAATTCTAAGTGGGGAGGGGAGTCTTGGAGAGGAATAGCTGTTAACATTCAGTCCATCACAGAGTGTGTTTAGCAAATTCCTCCACTATGAAGGTGGTTTTTTCCTTTTATTGCTGTGTAGTTAGAGTGACTTCCTTAGCTCCAGTATAGCTTCAGAAGAAGAGAAATTAAGCCCCTGGTCTTGGAATGAGATGTATTAAATAATGTTTTTTGTACATGTTAAAATTATCACACTAGTTAATAACTGTTCTTGAGGAAATAGATGTTATTCTATCCTACTTCTCCTTAAAATTTCACTAATTTTTGCTATTCCCTAATGATACTTACAGCAGGTATTACTATGGAATTCTAATAGTGAATTTTCTCTGAATTCGTTATTTGGAATTTTTCTCTACGGAAGGCTTTGACTGTTAATTCCCTTTTAAAATTTAGTCACTCATATTATTATGAACTAAAATATTTTATTCTTTGAATTCTAATTGAATTACATTTACTTATGTCTACATTATTTCCACTTTGACAACAGCCTTTTCAGATTGGCATCTGCATCTGTTTTCACCATTCTTTTTAATTGCTTTGTGGTCATGTGATTCTGTAAATCAAGGTGGTTTTATTTCCTTTCTGGTCTGTGGCTATTTTTTTTCTTAGCTTGATGGAGTAAATATTTTGTTTTATAGCAGTGGAGAAAGAGGATATCTCCTCATTTTCTTTAGCTTTAGGAAGCATTCTCTCTCTTACTATTAAGGATGATGTTTGCTGTAGGATTTAATAGTTATTCCATATTAGATCAAGATCATTTCCTTCTAGGGGATATATCGAGTGCTTACCTAGCATCTGAACTCCTTGTGTTTGATATGCAGCATCTCAAAAAGAAAAAGGAAAAAAAGTTCCTTCTAGTCTTCATTAGGAGGCTTTTAAAAATCATTACTAATGGATATTAGGTTTTACCTAATGTATTCTTGTATTCTAGCATCTATTGATGTAATTATATGGCTTAAGTCTATTACTAGAATTACATTTGATGGATTCCAGTGTTGAAATGGCCTTACATTTCTGGTGTGAACAGGTTTGCCAATAATTATTTTTTTTTGGTATACTCTGCTGTATTCTACTTACTGATATTTTTATTCACACAAAAAAATATTGCAACTAAGTTAATAATCACTTTTCCTAAAGATAATCTTCATATATAAGCATGTGATACAAGTGCTTGTGCTTCATGCCATTCCTATTTTTATTAGAAAACTTTACTCCAGATTGAGATATAATAAAATTAATAAATTTAGAAAGCTTTACTCCAGGTTGAGATATAATACAATTAATAAATTTTTCTCTGTAAAGTAGGACATTTGTGACAATGGCTATTTCCCCTGTGATTGCATGTGGTAAAGAATAGGATAATTACAGTGTTGCTTGGTGCCACTGCTTCCGTTTGTAGCGCAGGTGTAGCATTTGCTTTCCTATCCTTAATACAAATGTCAACTCATCTGTCTGTCATGAAGGTAGTTTTTAACTTTCCTGCTTCCAGCTCACACCTAAGTGCTGAGATGATAGGTATATGTCACCATGTCCCATTTAATAGTTGAGTTTAAAGCACAAACCAGTTTTTTTTTTGTTTTATTTTTTGTTGTTTTTTTTGTTCCGGTCATGGGGCCTGGGCACTGTCCCTCAGCTCTTCAGCTCAAGGCTTGCACTCTACCACTTGAGCCACAGTGCCACTTCCGGCTTTTTTCTTTTTGCTTATGTGGTGCTGAGGAATTGAACCCAGGGCCTCAGGCATGCAAG